TCTCAAAATTAATGAAACCTTGAATGGGTTTATATAGAAGCATTCTTTTGGATTGTGAGTACGCATATGTGAGTGCCATGTTCGAGACAACAAAGGATTAAAATTTTAATGATAGATTAGATAGACCATCATTTGTTCCTTTTTATTAACAATTTGTCTCTGTATTGTTCTCACATAGGGGTACAGTAATGTATGAAAAATGTATTATTGGTGAATTGTAAAACAAATATTTTTTTTAAAAAGAGTAGCGATGGAGTTTCTTGCTCGTTCTTCTCCATTCGAAACTACAATTTGGACCGAGCACCTAGCTTCACTGACGAACAGACTGACAGACTACTATTCTATTTTGACGTTTCAAAAGTACCTATTAGGCATTTTATACCCCAATCTGGGGAAAACTTCCTAGTGAGCTGAATTTTTGTATACAACTTTGTTACGGCGTTATTATGAAGTTGTGAAAAATCGACATCGATATCGTGTCGGCTAAAAAATTATAGAGGTCAAAAGGTCACGAAAATCAGTTTTTTGCAAATATTTCGCGACCTATTGCTCGGGCGTCAATAGAGGTCTTATAAAAATTGTTCCTCATAAAATTGTCTACAAAAAATGTCTCTTATAGTTTTTCTGTAAAATTAACAATTTTCGGATCATAGCGCTGAGAAAGCTCAGCTCACTAGGAATTTTTCCCCAGATGAAACCTAAAATGACTGGACTATAGTTGGAATAAATGATTTTGATTTGATTTGAATAATAGTAATGAAAAAGTCACAGTTTGATTATAAATGTCATTATGAGCTTAATTGCTGTAGAATTAGAACCACTTTTTAAGGAAGTGTGTTAAAAATGTATATTATTTGTCCCTTAATAAACGTCTCGAACCCAACAAGTACGCCAAAATATCTGCAAGTATGCCAGGTATCTGACGCCATTGTCAATGTTGGTAGTACTCATAAAACATTACTCGCTGCATTCATAGCTGAAGGGAACTGCTTTTTAATAAATATAGATGGTTCTAGTCCAATGCTGGCTACTTCTTAGTCACTGAATGCAAAGCAGGTGGGTAGGAGTGCTTGGATTGTTGAAATAACAATGATTATTATTTGTATGTCTTTACCAATTATGGCACCACACGGTCCCGGACACTATCCCAGAATTAACTAGTTTCCTCTGTCAACAGAAACAAATGATTTCAACTTATAGGAAATAAAAAAAAGGAAAATTATGCGACATATATGTTGTAGGTAAGTATACTTATTATGCTTATATTTTTTTAATTAAATGAATATAAGTTTGCCATTTGACGTAAAAAATATGACGTCACAACTTAACAATTATTTCATTCAAAATTAGTAGAAATATGTTTATTTCTTGAAAATTGCTAATTTATTCCAACTGAGGTTCAGTTCAGTTCCAAAAAGGTACTTTAAAAAAAGTACAATATAGAATATTAGGCTATCAGTTTGTCCGTCAGTGAAGCTCTATAAGTGCTCGTTCCAAAGAGCAGATTCAAGTCTAGAAAAAAAAAACCGGCCAAGTGCGAGTCGGGCTCGCGCACAAAGGGTTCCGTAGCAGCAAATATAATAAACTTATTATGTCAATGCACAATGCATTTAAGGTACATTACTGGATAAGGATTAATGGCGTATTGCTTGAATAAGCTAATATTTCTCGTAAGAAGTACCTACATTATAAAGATTTTATATCATCGCGGATTTTTAAAGGTGTACAATACTGTAGTATATTTTTTGATCTATCTTATAAGGTTCAGCCATCGTTTTCAGTGTAAGCACAATAACTTAACCAAAATTACAGTTAAATCAACCTATCTCAAAAACTATAAGAGATACTTTGATCAAACCAAAAATCGTTGAAAGAGTTAATTAGCATGCATCACCTTTATTTTTTTTTAGAATTTTATACCCCGTAGTTATAAAAATAGAGGGGGGGGGGACATACTTTTTACGACTTTGAGAGCTGATATCTCAAAAACCGTTCACTTTAAGAAAAATGTTTTTTAGAAAACTTTATATCATTTTAAAAGACCTTTCCATTGATACCCCACACGGGTATGTACATCGAAAAAAAAATTTTCATCCCTCAGTTACATGTATGGGGGGCCCCACCCCCAATTCTTTTTTTTACTATTTAGTGTCATAATTTTGTAGCGGTTCATACAACACATATTCCCATCAAATTTCATCACTGTAGTACTTATAGTTTCCGAGTAAATCGGCTGTGACAGACGGACAGACGGACATGACGAAACTATAAGGGTTCCGTTTTTGCCATTTTGGCTACGGAACCCTAAAAAATGAGCAAGAAACTCCTTTGTCACTCTTTTAAGGACGAATCATAGCATAATAGTAACTGAAAGTGACCGTAACGCCTGTGGTACAGATTCAATTCTATACAGGCACCGTAATGTTATTTACCTAGATTAATTAAAATGTAAGACCTAATGTAAGATATGTACAAACGTTAATAAATAAAATTTTATTGATTTTAAACTACATTGCTTCGCGATATAAGGATAGTATGAAGAACTAGGTACTTTAAAACTCACTTCCCCTTGCATCTTGAGGTAGAGCCTATAAGGCAAGCCGCCACGAGGGCTGAATGTGAAATAGATTACCACTTACACAACTGTGTTTTAGTCAGTAAGAGTTAAGAGAAGGGAGAAAAGGATTGTAATCCTTTTGTCCCTTCTCTTGTGCCTGAAGGGACAAAAGGATTGTAATCCTTTTGTCCCTTCAGGCGAAGGGGCTCTATGGGGAGAAAAGGTATTCAAGTTTACAAGGTCACCCGTGCGTTGGGTTGTGCGAAATAATGTACCACGACTCCTACTCAAAGCAGGAAAAAGAACGTGGTGTTGTTTTTTTATGGTAGGTATAAGTTGGCAAACTAGCCGACGGATTACCTGATGGTAAGCAATCAGCGACGCCCATGGACACCTGTAACACTAAAGGAGTTACGAGTGCGTTGCAGGCCTTTTAGGGATAAAGGTTTCAGATATTTAATGGTTTGGAATGGGATGGGGGAGGGTAGGGATTGGCCTTCGGTAATCTCACTCACACGGCGAAACACAACACTGTGGGTTGTTTCACGCTGGTTTTCTCTGAGGCCGGGATATCACTTCAGTCGAGCCGCCCCATTGGTGAAGAAGCATAGCCATGCTTCCACACGTAGAACTTGTTGTTTAGTCAGTAAGAGTCTGACTTCTTCTCACCCCACCCAGGGCAGTAGAAATACACTTAATTTTACCAGCTCAAAAATAAAGGGGTACTATACATATATTTTAAAATATTTAAGATGTCACGCCATAGCTTATTTATATTTAATATGTTTTTATTATGATCCCAGTAGATAAGTATATTTTGATATCCAAACTATGATTCGTTGGAACGCAATGTTCAGTGTACACATCGATGGAATAACAATAACAGAAATAGTATGAACGTGATATCCACTGCTAACGACTCATTCAAATACTGACCAGTGACTGTCCTTAATAATGCAATATCAGTGATGGATAGAAATTATCACATCATCAAGGATTCGGCACGAATGGGTCGGCTCGACCGGAGTGATACCACGGCCTCACAGAATACCGGCGTGAAACAACCCACAGTGTTGTGTTTCGCCGTGTGAGTGAGGTTATCTTATATGCGCAACCCCTATCCCCAAAAGGCCGGCAACGCACTCGTAACTCCTTTGGTGTTTCGGGTGTCCGTGGGCGGCGCCGATTGCTTACCATCAGGTAATCCATGTGCTCGTTTGCCGACTTACTATACACCATAAAAAAAACAGCCTATAAGTTATCACAGTTTAGCAAAGGCCTCTTCTCTGGAGGTTTCAGCAAAACCACGACGCAACCTCGCTCAAAGCGCATTATAAGTCCAAGTTTCCTCACGATGTTTTCCTTCATCGTTTGCCAGTGGTGAAGGTTCAAGGTTATGAACCCTAACCCTCATGCACGAGACATTTACAGCTTTAACCACCCAGCCAGATTGATACGAAATGAAAGTGAACAGAAAATAACACTTTTTTTTTAAATATGATTTTTTTTTTTGTGAGGTTAATATAATCAGATGACTTGGGCGGGAGGGAGTGTCAGACTATTACTGACTAAAACCCCTCCGTTCCTTCTCCTGCTCTGGTGCCTATTTTTAAGTATGAGTTTGTCGTTTTAAGTTATTCAACATTACATAAATCCCAAAACATTTGCTTTGTCACCTATATATTTTAGCTATTAGAAAGAACTGAAAAGAGACTGCAACTGACGAGTTTGTCTTTTTTGATTCGGAAAATATTCGAAAAGTTCTAAAAATTATAAAAGTACTGTACGTACTTTTATAATTAGTGAAGTTAAAAGTGATTTTCAATAAAAAAAATCTCGTTTGTAATGACAAACGAGATTGAGACAGATCGCCAATCGTCAAATCGTCTGCAACGTTGTATAGTAAGTACTTTTTATATTTCATTTGCTTTTAGAATAGATAAATATCTATTCTATAATTTCTATAATCGATGCCTCATATTACAATAATATTTCGAAAATTCATACGCCTGAAGCTGTTGTCACATATAGCTTAGATTCCTCCCGTCAACGGTGGGAAACAAAATTATAATATGCTTCGTTTTTAAAAAATATTTGTTTTATAATTGTAAATGACATTATTTTTTTTCTATCTTATTTCAGTCCTATATAATATAGATAAGCATTTTTTATAATCATTTCTTTTATAGAATTATTAAAAAATCGCAAAACTTGTTGATAAGCATTATAGTCAAGAAAGCCTGGACCAATTTTTTCGAAATATTTTCTTTTTGTTGTGTATTCTAAGGGAAATTCTAAGTCCTATTGAGAGAAATTTTAAGAAAAGTAGATTTTAGATGGGATTATCGGGCAATAGCAACCGGAAGAGGAATAGTTGGATACCCGTGTGATACAGAGGCGGGCCGCTAGTTCCAATAAATACAAATTAAACTCTAAAACTCACATCAACTGTAGGCCTTGGAGTCGTCAAAATTTCCTTTCTTTCAAAATCAGTGAACATGTCAGGCACTTCTGTAGGTACGTATGTGTTTTCTTCATTTGTGGTATCCTTATACATTTCTATATAATCTAATATAGGGTAATCAGTAGAATTATCTTCCTCAGGATCATAATACGTGGTATCCCACTCATCAAGTTTAAATATTTCATTCTCTTTTTCATTTTCAAATCTGTCCAGTATTCGACTTATTTTCATTGCTTTAGTTGATTTTATCTCGTCCATAGGCTGAGTAACCTGGTAAACCCTCTCTGTGGTAGTAACTACTGGTCTTTTCATATAAACACTTCTTTCTTCTGACTCTTCTGTCAAATCAACGTCGATATTAGCATTGCCCTTTTCGAAATCGACTTTAAAATCGAAACTTTTTACGTAAATTTTCGTTTTGTTGCTTTTGTGTTTGAAAACGAAGCTTGTTTCGTTGAGTTTTGCTTCGAACCATTTTGTTAGGTGGGATAAGATTTGGTTCAAATCATTTATAGCTACCTTTTTGATCTGATCGAACTTTGGTACTTCAAATCTTATATCAACGTTCTCTATTATTGATGTTTCCTTTAGTATATCGTCGACTGCTTTCACTGCACATTTAGTTTTATCCTCACACTCACTTTGAACACTATCAAGCACCACTATACAAAGCAATATTGCTATTATTTCTTTCATATTTACCAAATAAACGTGAACGCACTACATGAGATGTGATACAAATGCATACTAAGAATTGTTTTACTATACATAACAATATTGTTTATACGTTATTTACCAACGTTATGCCGTTTAAAATAAGGTTGATTTTACTTTGTTTGTTTTGTTTTCGAAGTGTGTAATCACCTTGAAGTTTCGTGGCTTCGTTGACTTTGATGGACGATCACGATAATTAGTGGGTTTTGTTATGATCTTTGTGATAGGAGAAGCGTAGAGCGGATCTTACTTAGCCTTCAGACAAATGTCGATTTGTTTTAATTTGATTCTATTTCTGGGATCATCTTCAATTAGATGCATTTAACTGTATATAATTCTTTTGATTAACAACAATTTCTCTCTTTTCCATATTCTTTTACCTATCTTTTAATAAGCACACGAACACTATCATATTTAAAGTTAATTTCACGACTAAACCACAACACACCCTGACCGATCCGGGAATAAAAGTCTCACTCTATTGAACCAACGAAGCCATCTCCTGCACTGCTCTCCTTACTGTCAGTAGTTGGTTTGAATGTTTATTGTTTATCGTTTTCATTCATAATATTTGCTATTATTATGTAATAAAATGTTGCATGCTATTCGTCAAGCAGGTGGTAGTCACAAATATTTGCTATGAAAACTCAAATTGATCTTCTAATTGATTTGACTTTGACTGGGAACACTCAACAGTATTTTGGCCTTCTAGATTTGATTTGGAAAAAATTATATAGCCTACTCTTATCTAAACGACGTTGATTTATTTTCGACCACCAAGCGAATAAAGTCGCGGGCATAGTTTGGAAATAAGATTCAAATTATTGGTAGGACTTTTCTTTTTCTTGACGCCTCGTGTTTTGTCGATTGTGTTAAGCGAATGGTTGTAATAAAATAATAATAGTAATCATTCGCTTATTTTCCATTACAAATGTAGGAACAATTAAGACAGTATTCAAAAAATTCAAGAGTGGACTGGAACCTGAACTATGAAAGCAACTTTTTGTACTTTTGCATAATACAGTAAAATGCGGGTGGGCAGGCAATGAATTTATGTATTCGGCTGTGGACGTGTGCACGTATGTGCGCTGACGAGAAAACATCTAAGAAAAGAAACTTAATTAAAAATTCTGAAAACTACATGAACTCTATTGACTTTCAAATCTGGATGATCGCAAGGAAAGCTAAGGACAATAGGAGAGGATTGTATCGTTCTTTTTAGACTATACAGTCAATATAGATGTCTACCCGTCGTGCTTAAAACCTGGCACTAAACACGAGACCTTATACTCGCAAATTTTAAGCAGAAAAATCATAACCCGCTATATATAACATAACAATCACATATTATAGACGGTTACTAAGAAATCCAAACAAAAATGTATTATATATATAATATATACAAATTAAACAATAAATATTGACCACAATTGAAGGTCTTTTTACTAAAACCAAGGTCTTATATCAAAGCTTTGATAGGTCGTGGTCATGGACTGAGAGATTTTAATTGTCCTATCCAATTACTTCGCTATTGTGATCCGTAGATATTTTTACATCGAATCGTAGGTAATTTGTGATAATCTTATATATACATAATAATACATATAGTAAAAATAACAGTCTATCTTTGTTTTCGAGTGGTTTCAATTGCGATTATTGAGTTTGGAGTCTGTTTTATTCCTCAAACTGGATGAAAAATTTCACATCATTTTTAACTGAAAGTAACGAAATTCTTGAGCAAAACGATGTGTACAGAAGTGGTTTCTAAAGTTGTTTTTTGTGGGTTTAAGCGACCAACGATCTCTGGGTCCTAACAGTAAGTGCCAATGGACACGCAATACCAAAGGAAAGTAAGTAATGCCTTCTCAGTGCATGCTAGCCTTCTGGGAGTTAGAATTTAGATGGTAGGGGATTTGGGAATTTGGTACTTTAGGGAAGGAAGATTGGACCTCTGGTAACCTCACTCACACGGCTAAATGATAACTTTTATTGTGGCATGGGTCGGCAAACGAGTCGACGGATTACCTGATCGTAAGTATATAGTACCGCCCATGGCTAATTGTAATACTTCTATTTACTATAAGTGCGTAGCCAGCCTCAAGGGGCTATATGATTTTTTAAATAAATCGTGAAATCCTCTTTAGATTTGAGGATTAAGTGTGGAGGAAAGGATTAGGTTGACTCTGTGGTGGTTGCATTCCTGTTTTCTGTTAGGCTGTCGTATCACTACGGTCGAGACGGTCCAACAGTGCCGAATGTGGTCATAAAATTCTACATATTTTTTCTCATATTTTTTTGGAATACATCTAAGTAGTTTGATAACATGCCAAAATACGTCCTTCCTAATATTAGCGAGCACGTGTAGAAATTGTAACAAATAAATAACGATTTTTCACGCACCTTCTGATATCATTATAACTAAACTTCAAACGTGGCAGCCGAGTTTTTCCTTGTTGTGTTTTGACCAAATAAAGTAATATTTGCAGAAATATTTCTTCCACGTGCAACGGACTTGTTTCCCAAAATATTGGCGCAGTAGACGTGTAACTGACTACTATGTTTTGCACCATAGTTTCGATCACCCCGGTGTCAGCTACAAATTGTTGTTCCTGTTATGAGTTTGATGAACGCACTAACGACTTTAGAACCAATTTCCGTAGTATGATGCCCAATTTAGCCCCAGAAGTTATTTTGATCATTCCACCTCCCCCTCAAAAAAGCCTTTGGGATATTGGGGATTGGAATGGGAACACCTTCGGTAACCTCACAGTCCCGATGAAGCACAACACGAAACAAACAACGTTAACCATTGCAGGTATTATTTGGGGTCGATTCTCTTTGAAACCGTGATATTACTTCGGTCGAACCGTCCCATTTATGGTGAAGCGTGGCTCTCCCTCGTGAAACGTGCATAGATCAAAAGTATGATATGAAGCCTGACGGTATATTGCGGTTGATCATTAGCCATTAAATTATTATTCTTCTCACAATCTATTCCACCACAATATTGTGTGTCATTTCTATAATTATACCGATTTCTTATTTGCATTTAAAGCAGATTTATCTAGAGTTAGTATGAATATTTATTAAACAACAGTAGAATCAGCTTCCGTACAATTAACTGCAAGACTTTGCCTCGGCTTCGTAAAAAGGCAGGCATTATATTTGCAGTTTTTTCTCACCTCACTCAGGGAATGTAAGAGTTACTGACTAAAAACTATCCCACTTTCTTCATCCTCCGAGCCAAGTAATGTACCGCGACATTATTGTGCTTACACCTGACTTCAATCTTGATGGGCTCCATGTCTTGTGGTATTTTGGAGCTGTGCAACACTTGGAGATCATTATGGGGTTTGGCGACTCAAAAAGTATCAGTTTCGCTATTTAATCAGGTTTACCAGAGGCCTCAGCTGCAAAGTCTCCGTCGAATATGTCATCACCTTTCAGGAGACGACCTTTTAGACGACCACGCTGGACGAGGCTGAGCCCTAACAGGGTCCATAACTGTACGTGTATGTATGTATGTGTATTTTATACTTATTATTGTACGGAAATAAATGAATATGAATAATAGGATCATAATATGTAACCAGGTCACTGAAATATCAGAGGTGCTGCTTGTCTCCTGCCTCGTTATCTCTTTAGGAAATATCCGAGTAAAACTCACATTCTACCTTTCACATAAATATATATTACATATATACAAGTCATACATATATATAACTCATAATACACTATGCAAAAACTGTTTGTTTATAGTACAACAAAATACATAAAAATCCAACTCACCAGCATCTGCATTTTCCATGGTTTTCTAGTGACCATTTCAACATCATCTGAACTCCTAGTACTAAGATTACTAACATCAACAGAATCTTTCATTAGCTGAGAATCATCGTCATCATCAACTAATTCGTTTTCGTTCGCTTTCGTCGTTATTATTATTGGTACTTCTGTTACTTCTGCATCTTTTTTTTCATCGCCAACTAAATATCCTTCTATTGTTGTAGTGTGTTCTGGTTCTGGATATATCATTTCCGTTGTAGCTTCTTTTTCATCAATCGATCGCCTTAATTCTTTTGTTTTTGGCGTCTGTACCGTGTAATATTTCTTTGTAACCGCTGGTTCTTCGCTGACTGTTGTCTTAGGTAGTTCATCTTCCACCACCACTCCTGTTACTGATGTTTTGATAATGTTTTCGTCTGTTTCTTTTGGTATATCAATATTAAGATCGTCTGCTGAATCCTTTGTATCGGTTTCTTGTTTCATAGGTTCTTCAATAAACATGTAATCAACAAATATGGGTCTTGGAGGTAATTCAATATAATCTTTTAGCTGTTCAACCACAATATTTCTTTTCACTTTTTTAGTAAAATCGATTTCGTCTTTCATGAATTCGTCGATATCTAAGTCGTCTACAGTTGATACTTCAATATAATCACCATCAGTGGACGTGTATGATTGCTCTGTAGTATAATCTACTTCTATTACAGTCAACTCTAATTCTGATATAGTCGGGATCCTTTTAATCGTTATATTTGCGTTTATGTAATTATAAACGTCGGGCCAATATTTAGCGCTATATAAAAACGTTGATATCATAAACATGGTTACGAATAACATCATTAATATTAATATTTTAATTATCATTTTTAACATCGGCTGTGACAACTTCATTATTTTATTTATTATTTTCTTTTCACAGATCACTTTGTTCACTCACTATAATATCACTCACAGAATGTCTTTTCAATTTGCATCTAACTTTAGAATCACATTTATCTTCAGTACCTAAGGACCAAGTTGTAAGGACCACACGAGTGATTAAGAAGCAAGCCTTGGATGTACTAGAATTAATAAAACAATGTATCATATAAAGAGTCTGGGATTTGTATAGGATCATTATGAAGTCTATATACGGTGTGCAATGCGCAGAATAAAACAATAGATAATATACTTTGCCTTCTAAGTCTGGAAAATACTGATGATGTTATTGAATGCTCTAAGATCATCATCGTCATCAGTTTGCGAGTGTGAATCAAGGGAAGTCAGCTGTTATGGAGTTTGCACGCGTGATCTGTAATATACTGATGTTATATTCACTGTCTGTACCTACATTTATTTGAAGATTGAATAGAAATATTTTGGGAGGTATAAGTCATGGCTTTGTCATTCTAAGTTAATAATAATACATGCATACATATGCTCTCAAATTATAACCGCAAATTAGGTAGTTTCTTTATTATTTTTTTATAAACGCCTGTGAAAAGTATAAAAGCAATACACATATTTACAACGTATTGCAATGAATCTTACTATAGTATGATTCCATTGTATCTACATAAATATAGATACTTAATATTAAAAAGCTGTAGAGTTAGAGTTGAAAACCCTAATAAAACTTTGATCTACCCTAATAACACATTGAAATCGGACCCAGGACACCTAGCCCGTTAAGGCTTTGAATTTATATTTGTAGATGTAAGTAACGTGGTAATTCAACACTAGGATAAACTAGTGACGTTTAATGTATTAAACCCCAAGCGAGCGCGGGCATTCGCGCACCTGTAGTTCTTCTATTGTGTCTCAAATTACCATAATTGAAAGGTTAATACACATAGTCAGCCTATAAGTAAGAACTGAGCAAAAGGCCTCTTCTCACACAAAGACGGTTTGAGCATTAATCACCACGCTTGGCTAGATGGTTGGCGATTTCAAACTTACAATTATAAATTCAGGTATCCTCACGATTTCTTCCTTCCCCGTAAGTCAAATTACCTACATAATTATAAGTCGAATTTCACATTGGTACTTGGCCAAGTTTCGAACCCTCATGAAATGAAATGCAACGTTCATGCATGCATTTCATGGCCACCACAACCCAGTGCTATTGCAGGTATTTAATCATTTTGCATATCTAACAAATGTAGTCAATTGAAATTTTACTTTATTTGAAGGATCCGATACATAGAGGAATAGAGGTCATATCCTCTTTGATTCGATATTACATAAATTGTCAGCAAAATAGCTTTGGGCAATCATTCAATCCTAGTTACGCGATTTCAATGAGAAATGACCATTTTGATTGGGATAAGTTTGGATTTTGTATCTATAGGTAATTCTAAATTTAATGGATTTATAAGTGTGGAAGTGATACCACGCTTTAACAGAAAACCAGCGTGGAACGTTGCGTTGGATAGTGTGAGTGAGGTTACCGAAACCCAATCCTACAACTCTCTCATCCCTACCCATCACTTAAAACTCTAATTACCAAACGTTCAGGAATGCCCTCGTAACTAATATAGTGATCCGGATATTCATAGGCGATGCCGATTGCTTGCTGGGAAATCCACCCGCTCGTTTGCCAAAAAAAAATTAAAGCGTACATAAGATTAAAACTACGAAATAAATTATTATAAAATTCTTTATTTCACCTTAGAACTAAATAACAACATATATTTACAACACATACACACAGACACCCACACAACAACACACAACAACAGTAACAACAATGTAACAAGGCGGTAGGTTGAAATATAAAATTTCAATATTATAAAACAAACGAACAAATTGGTATTTGTTTTCCATTAGTTTACGGAAAACGCTGGCCTTATGTATATAACAATAAAGTTGCTTTTGTCCAAAGATATGTCTAAAGCTGCAAAAATTATCTAACCAAATGTTTTAAAGAATTAAACTGGACAGTTATCGGGAAATTTTGACAGTCTCTCTTGTACCTTGGAGACAAAGGACCAATTTTGCAATTGCGGATATAAGGACCAATGAGATATTACGTCACATTGGCTGGAGCTAGAAATATGAGGCGAAATTTTCTGCATACAATTTTTGTTTTAGAAGTATTAGTGGTCCTTTGTGCATCCAAAAGGTTTCTTTTATCAAACAGTCTCTATTTAAATCTTGTGCTGTCCTTTCTTAGTGTGGATAATGGTTTCATAAACAGGTACTTTGAAAGGCACAGGTTTTTCTACCGGCACCAAAATGTGTTTCACCACTTCAAAAGGCACTTCTTTAACTTTTGGTACATGGACAACCTTTTCCACTGGGTAGGGAACAGACTTCTCAACGGGAATCGAGACTTCTTTGATGATGGGAATTACTACGGCCTTCGGTACAGGGACTTGAATGGGAATTGGGTGGGGCACGGGAATGATCACTGGCTGATTGATTTTGAACTCTACGTTTTTAGGTAGAGGGACCACAATTTCTTTGTAATGCTTGATTGGTTCAGGGTTTTCTTCTTCGACGTGTTGGTGGACTGGGTATACGTGGGATTTGAGGTCGTGTCCACCGAAATCGTGCCCTCCTAGGTCGTGACCGCCGTAGCTTCCACCATCGTGGCTTCCACCGCTGCTGCCGAAGTCGTAGCCGCCTGAATAATCACTGGCTTGGAACTGGAAAAACAGAAAAGTGGAGGTTAGGTTAGGTTAATTATTTGTTGTTGCGTACTTTTTTCCTACCGCTTCTTGTGCATGAGGGTTCGAAACCTGGTAAGTACTATTTCTAGTTTGTTAAGACACTACTAACAGACTTTGAAGTAAAACATCGTGAGGTGACACGGACGGTTTGAAATCACCAATCTGCCTTGATTGTATCCATCCCATGGACCCATCCCATGGGATGCAATGCTCATACTTATTTTCTTAACTATTTAATAGATGTTATTATACAAATAAACCTTAATCTTCAATCACTCTACCTATTTAAAAAACGCATCAAAATCGTTGCGTAGTCTTAAACTTTTTTAAGCACACATAAGGATATAGGGACAAAGAAAAGGTCTTTGTTTTATATATGTAGTGATGAGCTATGTTCAAATATAGAGGTACTTGTATCACAAAACCCTTTTTCCAACTTTCAGATTGGATTTCAAATTGGTTTGCTTTCATTGATTGAAATGAAATTAACTACGTGCCTGTCTACTAGTTACTAGTAGTTGCTTTAAACATTTTTTTTTTTAAATTTAATCTCGCTTTATTTAATCGGGAACCTACCTACCTGTCTAAACGACCAACCTAATTAAAATTGGATAGGAAAAATTATTAAGAAAATTATTTATAAATATAAATATGGATGGATAGAGAGGGAGAGGGAGACCAAAGAAAATATGGATGGATTGTGTGAGAAGTGAAATGGAAGACAGAGGAGATAGCGTGACGGGTGACAAGACAGAATGGAAGAAAAAACATATTGCGCCGATCCCAATTAAAACGGGACATGGGCAGGAAGATGATGACGATTTATAAACGGACGGAAAAGGTATAATATTCCGTTTAAGTAGTGTAACCAGAGTTTTAATGGTGTACAAAATTCTTTTTATTTAATTGGCTAGCGTTTGTTACCTGTCTCGCCTGGTGATAAAGGATGATGTGACCTAGTCACTCTAGGCATAGACAGGACACCTCGTTTTAATACATTTCGAGGAACACAAACTTTGGCAAAGAATTCCATTATTTCAAAGGCTAAAACACAAAATAACACAGTATGCTAGTAATCAGAGTATATTTTATTTTCTTTTATAATTTGGGAAGAGCTAACTAACCAGTAACATCATTTTGTAGTAACCAATCTTCTTTTCCTTATTAATTTAAAATCTGTATACAATAGACACAAGATACATTTCTATATAACTTCAATATGTAAACAACTTTGGATTGAACCGTTCACTTTCAACGAACGGCGAAATTCGTCCGGAATCGGTTACTGGACAATTTAATAACAGCGTCAGGAAAAAAAAGCAAACGTTTCCGGCGCTGCGACATGCCCGCTATTTAGTCTGTGGTTCTTTTTTTATTTTTCGCAGTCTGTGGCCCGTATTACTTTTTGCTTTGACGTTTTTATTTTCGTTCGGTAAGTTGCTGTAACGCTTAGCCAATCGGTTTGTTACGTTCGGAAATTTAGTTATTAGAGCGGAACTTTTGGTATACAATAGTTTATGTAATATCTGTAATAATTTCTTCTTTATTTTTATTTTATTTTTAAGTCTGTTTGAAGTGTGTCTGATTTGAATGAGGAAAGGGTGCTAGCGACGGAGTGTTACGATTCATTCATTGAGTAATTGGCAATAGTCTAATTCGTTTTCTATTAAGTCAATGTTGAAATTGAAGATCCTAATTTTACGTTCACATTCACCAATCAAATTTTATATTGGAACCGAGATTATCTAACACTTAACGCTGACGAAAACTGACCAATACTTTTTTGTGGTGTGAAAATTTGGCAATGACTTTTCATGCCACGAATCGGGCGATAGGGAATGACATGGACTCATACTGACTGTAAATCATTCAGTTGCTTCTGCTCTAAGTCAGGGCAGTGGTACATTATTGAGCTTCTATTTTATTTTTAGTTTTTTTTTATGTAATAGGTCGGCTAACGAGCAGACGGATTACGTGATGGTAAACAATCACCATAGACACCCACAACGGAGGAGTTACGAGTGCGTTGCCGACCTTTTAGGGAATATGGATTTGGAGATTTAGAGATTGAGGAGGGATTGGGGGAGGGGAAGGATTGGGCCTCCGGTAACCTCAATCACACGGCGAAACACAACGCTGTGATTGTTTCACGCCGGTTTTCTGTGAGGCCGTGGTATCACTTCGGCCGAGCCGAACCAATCGTGCCGAGGCATGGCTCTCCCACACTTATTATTTTTGGAAACTTACTGCTAGAAGAAACAATATGACAACTTTACTCGTAACCCCGGCTAATTTCTTCTAGGAGAAAACAGACATACCTACATCGGCATCGAAAATTTCTCTGAGCAGAAGCTTCAGAGTAAATATGCCTCCTTTATACTAATAAAGGTATTTACATCTCTTGAAAGCCATAAAATAAACAGTTTCACCTAACTTAATGAACGAACATAAAAAACCGTTACAACAACGTTAACAATAAAAATCTATGAAAACAACGAATAATGCGTACTAAGGCATCGTCTTGAAAACATAATAAAAAAAAGATATAAGGAAAGAGAAAACATATAATATGCTTTTATGACGTTTTATATATTTCTGTTAAAGAAAATATAACATTACACTTTTAGTAGTCGGGGTTCCGTTAACTTTTCTATTAGGAAAACTGTATTAGATACTTATATTGTTTTTCTATCTATTATTTAAATATTGGTACAAAGAAGTACCTATACCATATTATATTTAAAACTTTAGGAATAGTTTAGATTGTTTTTTTTTAACTTTAGGACTAAGCAAGATTAGTCTACATTGAATCCACCCTATCTTTATCTCTTTAAGTGGGAAAATCATCGTGTGACTTCTCCAGCTCTGAAAAATCACCCTGTTCCTTTCTCTGGTCTGATACCATGAGGTCACTCCGGCTGAGTAGACTCCATGGCCGTGTGGTCTCATTGAAAACCGGCATGAAATAACCACAGCGTTGTGTTTCACTGTATGAATGAAGTTACCGGAAGCCCAGTCCTTATTCTTCTACCCCAATCTCTAAATCTCCGAAATAGCCTGACAACGGACACGAATCTCCTCTGGTGTTTGGAGTGGCCATGGGCGGTGCCGATTGCTTACCATCACGTTATAAGGCTGATCGTTTGCCACCCGATGACATTAAAAAAATACAAACAAAGCAAGCGGTACGGAACCACAGACGCTACAAGAACTCTAATGCCAGAGTTGCTAGGAAATAAATAGCTCACCCCAAATGTATTACCGTTGAATTTTTTAATATAAGTTCGGTATACAAAGAGCCTTTTTTTTATGTGGCAACATCAAACGAGTGAAGTACAAGATTAATAATATCGTCCTCCTCTCATTTTCGAGGGAATGATAAAACTGTGGGTTTTGTGTATTACCTTACAAGTAGTATATTATTTTGGCTTTATTTTTTACATTTATAATGTCGGAAGAATCGTGGTGTAATTTTTATTGTGAGTATTACCGCATTTTAGATTGTTTGGTGTGAGATTTTTAGTTCTATTTCATCACCATCATCAGCCTATAAGTGCTAACAAAGGCCTCTTCTCACACGAGAAGGTTTGAGCATTAATCACCACACTTGCTCAAGGCGGATTTACGTAGAAATTATAATTCCAGGCTTCTGTGGTGTCTGAATAATCTTAGAAAGTACATATAACTCGGAAAAAGTCACATTGGTACTTGCCAGTTTCGACACACACCCTCAAGCATGAGAAGTACGCTTCTTATATTTAAGATTTCTCATTTAACGTGATTAATCCTCGTACTCAGAGTCACTTAATGGTTACTTAACTCAGTCAAAACACGGACTTTATAGACATTACTTAGTAAAGTCATGCATTTTGTCCACATCAGAAATTTATTCTTGAAACACAATTAACAATACCTGTTGATCATGATTGGATGCTGCCTCTTGAAATGGTGAGGAGGCTTGTTGGTACTGCTGCAGCAAGCTGTTGTATGGAGTCCACTGCATCTCCGCTGCGAAGCTGCTTGCCAGCAACGCGCTCAAACACTGCAATGAAAAGTGATCTTTATTTAATCTTTGATATATGAATTATTTTATATTGGCGTTAAAAATTAATGAGGTCATTGTGGCTGCTGTATATTTATATGCTACACATTAGTTTATCAAATCTGTACTTTAAGTTAAAGGTTGATGGTCGGTTTTACTGTTATTCCCTCTTGGTACCTATAGGTGAAAGCCTTTTAGTGGTGTGTAAATTATTATCATAAACTGTCTTTTCTCGCTTTGCATGGGACTAAGGAAATATCAGGCTAAAAATGACTAAATACCATCCCATTTCTTCTCCTGATCCAGATCGACGCCGCGGTATATGACTGTCCTTACTTCCGTAATCACGATTCTAACTTCTACGATTAGCAGTTGGGTTCAAGACCGCAATTCAAAAGGTTCAAGGTCATCAGAGAAGTCCCTAACAGCTTCCACAGGAAAACTGGGACCTGTGACAAAGCCATTCATAACAGTATCTATATTACTATTGCTAATTACTCTACAAACAACGTATAACAATTATAATGCACTCGCAAATGCATTGTATTCTACACAAGTGTAACAATGCAGATGTCGTATGATTAATGGCTTTCACCTGGCGCTCGTGGCTTCCTTAACTGAACTGTTGTTTCCTGGACTGTATTAGGGAGATCTCCATTTCTTGGTATAACAATAAGGTGTATGTTTGAGAGTGTACTTACATGTCCCTAACCACTGTAGTCTTTACATAGTTAGAAAAATAATTAATAATGATAGAGCATTTTTTTCATGTATTAAACATAACTCAACAAATTGTTTTCCTTAATCAATGAAGGTGTAGAAACGTAGCTGTTAGCTGCAGCCATTTTTGGCAGATAAAAGTATGACAGCATTTTCACTGAGTCTGTCAACACACTAAGATTTTCTCCTGTGTCGTGGGTCCCTTTCAAAACATACAATTTCCTGTACAAATCACACCCGGACCCGGAACTACAATTTGTGAACTTGTTCCGAGCGGGAATCGAACCTGCGACACTTTGCATAGTTGCTTGCACGTAGCAGCCACTTGCCCAACCATCGCGCCAACCGTTCAGTCAAAGCATGGTAAAAAGGTAATATAAGGGTCTCTTAAAAAAAGATTCACAGTTCCGATTTAAGTGTGGGAGAGCCATGCTTCGGCACGAATGGGTCGGCTCGACCGGAGTGACACCACGGCTTCACAGAAGACCGGCGTGATACAACCACAACGTTGTGATTCGCCGTGTGAGTGAGGTTACCGGAGGCCCGATCCTTCCCCGCCCCAAATCCCTCCTCAATTCCTAAATCTCCAAGTCCCTAAGCCCTAAAAGATCGGCAACGCACTTGTAACTCCTCCGCTGCGGGTGTCCATGGGCGGCGCTGATTGCTTACCATCAGGTAATCCGTCTGCTCACTTACCGACCTATTACAAAAAAAAAAGATAGACACTAGTAACCTACATATATGGCACTAAACGTCTGCGAAGTAAAGTATATAATGTAAGAAAATATATAATATACAGTTAAGGGTGACAACGGTTACTCCCACGCAAAAAGCCGACAGCAAAGGCATCAAGTTACTATATTGGTCAGGTCGGTCTACTATGCCAATCAGAACCTAAAGGTCAACTGCCGTTAGGACATATGATATTCTTACGTCATTTGGTCCTTCGGTACTTAAAAGGACCAGGTTTTGTGTGCGTCTATATAATAGATGTACCTATAGCTGAGCGTGGTAATTTTTAGGTTAGGTTTCCGTAAATTGTTTGGCCTGTAATAAAATGTTTCTTCTTTTCTTAGTAAGAATGCAGATGTTTTTTTCTAGTACACTTTTGTTTTAAATCGTCAGACAGAGAGATAATCACTAAGCTATTAAAACTGAATTTAGATTTCAGAGTTCGTGGATAAATCTAGAAATTTGTAGTTTCATTAAAGCCATTAACGTACTCGTAAACATGTGCGTTTTAATAACATTTGAATCGTAAAATGAAAAAAACATTTTGGGCATTTTTTAATAGCATAAAAATGTTTACATTGTTATTTTTTGTATTCATATGTATCATACGGTTTTTGAATCCCAGAAAATAATAAAGATACGTTGTCCTTTGTTTATTTTTACAGTATATTTTGTTATTGTTCGTAAACATATATGTATAACTGTTTTTATAGTTTTACGAAATAGGTTTAAACTGTTCATTTACACGTTCACAAAAATGTTACTTTTTTTTATTTTTTGTTAATAAAATACAGAAGTGAATCTGTTTGGTATAGACATGAAAAAATACAAAGCTACACTTTTGCTTTTGTAATAAATAAATTTGTAATAAAATGCCATCATTTAGACTTTGATCATTAAGATTTTTAAAGTGTGGGAGAGCCATGCTAAGTGTGGGAGAGCCATGCTTGGGCACGAATGAGTGATACCACGGCCTTACAGAAAACCGGCGTGAAACAATTACAGCGTTGTGTTTTGCCGTGTGAGTGAGGTTACCGGAGGCCCAATCTTTCCCCTTCCCCAATACCTCCTCAATCCCTAAATCTCCAAATTCCTAATCCCTAAAAGGTCGGCAACGCACTCGTAACACCTCCGTTGCGGGTGTCTATGGGCGGCGCTGATTGCTTACCATCAGGTAATCCGTCTGCTCGTTTGCCGACCGACTCGTTTACATAAAAAAAAATTAAGACAGACTTGTATGAGAACTAAAAAAATGAACAGTTAATCAACACAGCAGACCGAAAGGACCAACAGAAAAATCGAACCACAGCAACACAAATCAATACATAGATCGTTCGAGTTTACAATTTAGAGCTTTTAGAAAACTAGCCATGTAGCTGAATAGCTCTGCAGAGAAAATAAACTACGTATGAGGACGTTAAGTGCCAATAAATAATGAAATGTGTGGCGTTGAGGGGAAGGTATCAAATCGTATATCTTTACAGTTGAGTTGGTTTGGTACTGGTCAAAGAATGGAACTATCGTTTAAATGGTGGGCGACAAATTGGGATGGAGAATAATAGAATAGAATTTGCTTCATCGTACCTTCAGTATTATCTTCTACATTACGCATTCTACATATAATATCGAAAATGGCGGAATATTCGCATTTACCTGCACATTTTCTCTCCTTCACTTTCAAATTTTTAAAGACTAGAATTAGAAAAATGTCTTTTCGATACCTACGGTTAATAAGTGACATCAGATATAATATGTCATGAAACAAGTCTGTCAAAATAATCATTTGTTAATTTTTAAACCGTATGGAGTATAGTTTGTGGGTTGTTAGTCAGTGTTCAGTAAATACATTAAAGAAAGTTAAAGAAAAGAAGATAAAGACCCAAAGTATTATCACTTAAATCAATACTTTTACGTATGAAATAGTCCATACTGCAATACCTTTAATATACGGCTTGTCTGTAAAAGTCGGTAAAAATGTGGTAACAGACGTTATTACATAGTTCAGCTCAGTTTTTCAGCATTGCCCCCTCAACTCTACAAACCCTGTTTTTCACAAACACAGACACATTAAGTAAATAAAGAACTGTTCCAATATCAGTGACAATTTGAATGTACTGTAAAACAGTGAATAGATTAGGCATTATCCCACATAATATAAAACCGAAACCAATTTGCAAAAGATGATTGACTTTTGTAACTAATAGGAGAAGAAATAAGAATTTCTCTGAACTTTGTATTAACAACATGAAACAAAGCTCAATATATAGCTAATGTTATACCTATTAGGTCTTATGTGTGTGTGAAGCAATGAACAGTACAGCGATAGATCAGGTGTATCTAGCGCTGTTCGAAGCTTGCCGCTGATATACTGAGTCTGAGAATATACGGGAGTTGGTCCTTTGAGACGCGCAATTTTTGTATTCCTTGAAGACTATTATTTTTACATGCTAAATCATCTTTTACGAAATAGCTGTTTGTCTATTTCTCTGTATGCACAGATAGACATTTAAGTATAAGATTTTTTTTCTTAATATCTCAATTTGTTATATGTGTTGGCAATTATTCATTGAAACAAAGAAGTAGGTCCTAAAATAGCTCGTTTAAACGTTAAAATTATATATGAAAACTAGATGAATCCAGCAGTTCCTATGTGACTACTCTGAGAAGAAGTTGTTTTGTTATGCAATATGTTTTTTTCTCTATATTTGTATGCCGTTTTTTTGTGAAGGGAAAATCATCAAATGACTTCTCCCGCCCAGGAGTGTCAGACTCTTACTGACTAAAAACCCCCCTGTTCCTTCTCCTGCTCCGGGCCGAGGTCGCGGTGCCTCATTGCGCTTACCCCACAACCCCGGCTGAACATCAGCCCTTTAGGGCCCCGTCTGTGGTGATCTATTGGCTCTTTGAGGCGCGCGCGGAACGCTACGTGCCGTACGCTCGGGCCTGGTTCTGGTCGGGCGGCGAGCTGCCCTTACTCGCCGACCGCAGACCCGTGCTTACGGTGGCCGAAGATCGTCCCTTGATCCCCGACGCCCGTAGTGTCGCCAGTTGCGGCGGCTGAGGCGTGAGGAGGAGGATTGCCCCCTCACGCGGGCCGCCTCTCTCTTTGCGAGCATGACTGCTTCACAAAAGGAGGAGACGGCGTCCCAGTTCCTCTCACTCCACACCATGGCCTCGACTAAGGCCGGGCGCGATATTTGTATGCCGTAAAGACCAAACACGATAGTACTTACATTTATGCCTTTTTTTAATCTGGCCTGCGCTATAATTTATATCTACCCATAAATAAACTATCTTTATCTTTCTTAATAAACTTTTCAATGATATGAAACCTGCGGCACCAGCCACACTTCTGTCCCCTATATTTCAATCCTGAGAAACCAGTATAAAATGCGTGAAATGGCGTGCGATGATACATGGAGCGAGCAACAAGCCCCCACAAGTTATTTATTGCAGATAAAAACAGTTTTTAGTCTTTAATCTTATGATGTGAGCAAATATAAAAAGGTCTTTGTCGCTAAAATGGAAAAAGAAAAATAAATAGGTTGTGTGGTGAGGAAATAAGCTGTATGGTAGTTAAAAAAATCATAATAACATACGATCAATGGCGTTTTTTATTTGAGATATAAATATCATCAAATGCCTTCTTTCGTCATAGCGGCTAGTTGATCCAAAGAACCCAGATTTACGATTTAAAAAAAAACGGTTACAAAGATTCATTTTCACATGCACAAGCCACCCAGACCCGGAACAACAATTTGTAATTCACTCAAAGATTTGTTCCGTGCGGGAATCGAACCCGCGACATGTTGCACGGCAGCCATTTGCCCAGCCACCACACCAACCGTACAGTCTATCTATGTTTACAAATAAATAAATAATTGATTGATTGACTTTGGTGCCAAAACACTAAACAAAAGAAAATCAGACCTATTGAATAGTCTGCCAGTAGACTTAAAGAGTGACACAAATGAAAATGGATTTAGAAGTAAATTAATAATAGATTATGATGATAATGATGTCACAAAAGCCGACCAACTATATAAAGTTGCTGACTAGATATAGAATTTTGAAGCATTCTGTATGGAGCTTCATTCTCTGGTAAGCGAATATCCGTATAGACGTTTTATTGAAACTGTACGTCGGGGACCACAAAAAGACAGTTCAGCGCTCTTTGGCAAATCTGATCTTCAATCCGCCTGCAAAGCACACAGACCCTTTAATGTAGAATACGCTAGTGGCACTGAGCAAGTTAATAGAAAATATATTTTATTTTATAACTAGAATCTGGTCCTATTGGTTTGTTTATTGTATTTTTATTAAGGTTCATTTGTAGGTACCTAAGGAACTGTTTTCGAAGTAACCCAATTAGTTTTGTTATTGGTCCTTCTGCTTTGTTTTTGAGCAAAAATCTATTTTAATAATATTTTTGTTTACTTTGTGTTCGATTTTCTGAGAAGATGTTTTAGTACCTAATTCTTTAGTTGATTTAGTTAGCAAAATAATTTTGGTCCTTCGGTACATTTGTGATAGATTTTTGCTTATACATTACAGTATGTAATTATTGTGTAATTATTTCAGGAAAAATGATGAATATATATTTCAAAATTCATCAAGTTTGTGGTACCAGATATAAGATCCTATAGAAAAACAACCAAAAACTAATTACACTTAAAAAACCTGGCGCCATTTATAACGCAGCGCAAAATTCTCCCTTCAAAAATTGCATTTATTAAGTCGCTTTCGTTCCTTTTTTGAAAACTGTGGCGGGCACAGCTGCGACTATGAGATACATCGTACACCACTGACAATTATAACTTGACCCACCTAAACCTCGTACAAGTGTAACGCTGTCTCTTTCATTCTTTTTGTACGTAGCTATTGCCATCTTGTTCACGCTTCTAAAGGACTAAGTTCAAAGAGGTCAAGATAAGTTGTGTGTTGTGCATCAAGTTTATTATTTACAGTTTTTCTAACTGAAATATTCACTTTGAACTGTGCTTGATTTTAATTAAAGGATATTTTATATTTCTCAGTGAAGTGGTAGCAATGTTAACTATCAAACAGTATAATTCTGCATTTGATAACCGTAATCAAAAATGGCTCATCAAAAATTATAAAAGCACATTTCTGATGTGATGTATTCTTATTCAAGCCTATTTTTCAAATTTATTTTAAATAGAACACTAGCTACATGCAGTTTTGAATTTTATTTGCTCGTTCTAAAGAATAGATTCCTATGGAGAAGAACGAGCAAGAAACTCCATCGTTACTCTTTTTCAATCAGTTTCCGAATTCAAATTTTTGAATTCTTTGTGCCCTGATTGAAATAGACAGCGGTACTACTGCATGTAAAAGTTCGTTTTAGTGTTGAATCTAGCCCAAAGCCGTTCACTACATAATATTGAATAAAATAAATATCACAAAAATAATTTCAATCCTACAACCTAATTTCCTCACAAACTTTAAGAAAACAAGAGAACCGCCACCATAATAAAAACCAACACAAAAAAGCCACAGAACAAAAAATTACACAAAAAAACTCACATATAAAATTACTGAGCACATTTTGATGTATCGCGGAGCGTTTCACAAGTGTTTGTGATGACACAATAGAGTGCGCTGCAGTTTTATAGCTTGGTGACTGGCGACCATTAGTTCTCTGAAGCTCTGAACTGTTTTAGGGGCCCGTAAGAAAGTCACTCGTCGATGATCCATTATTGCGGTTACAAGAACAGTAGGTAATGTACAGCAGCATAGGCTTGGAGAAGGAAGAAGGACCGGGGTGGTTTTACTCAATAAGAGTCTGACACTCCCTTTCGCTCCAATTCTCTATGGAGAAGTAATTGAATGTTTTCACTTACTAGCGACCCGCCCCGGCATAATAAATGCAATGCTAATACTAAATTTCTCCACTGTTTAATGGACGTTAATAGACATTTTTTTTATGTAATTGGTCGGCAAACTAGCAGACGGATAACCTGATGGTAAGCAATCAGCGCCGCCCATGGACACCCGCAACGGAGGAGTTACGAGTGCGTTGCCGACCTTTTAGGGATTAGGAATTTGGAGATTTACGGACGGGAAAGGATTGGGCCTCCGGTAACCTCACTCACACGGCGAAACACAACGCTGTGGTTGTTTCACGTCGGTCTTCTGTAAGGCCGTGGTATCACTCCGGTCGAGCCGACCCATTCGTGCCGAAACATGGCTCTCCCACACTTATAAACCTTCCTCTTCAATTACTCTATGTTTTAAATAAATCGCATCAAAATCCGTCGCATAGTTTTAAATATTTAAGCGCGGCATACAAGGACAGAGAAAACAACTTTGTTCTATACTATGTTAGTGACTAGAAAAAAATTGTTGAGTTGTGACGGATACCTATAGGGACGGACAAACCGACTATTTTATACTAAGTTATATTACTATTTTATAATAAGGTATGGTAACCATGGCCGCCCATGGACACCCGCAACAGAGGAGTTACGATTGCGTTCATTTGGGGATTAGGGTTTGGAGATTTAGGGATTGGGGGTGGGGAATCAATGCAGAAAGCAATCAGCGCCGCCCATAGACACCCGTAACGGAGGAGTTACGAGTGCGTTGCCGACCTTTTAGGGATTATGATTTGGAGATTTAGGGATTGAGGAGGCATTGGGGGAGTGGAAGGATTGGGACTCCGGTAACGTAACACAACGCTGTGGTTGTTTCACGCCGATTTTCTGTATATATATCTATGTTCTCCATTAAGTATGTTGTGACTAGAAATGTGGTTTTGATTACCCCTTTGAATATTTGCAAACAAACTCCAACACAGGAGGAAATCCGGGGTTGTGGGGCAAGCGTAATAAGGTACTGCAGCCTCGGCCAGGAGTAGGAGAAGGAACGGGGAGGTTTTTAGTCAGTAAGAGTCTGACACTCCCTCTCGTCTCACCCTGTGCAAAGAAGAGACTTAAGGATATTTCCTCCGCAAAAAAAAACAGGAGAAAATCGTAATATCGAGTGAAAGATTCATTTGTTATGGTGGTTTTATGAGGGTGACTTCTAGTTATAAATAACTTGATGTAGGGAACTGAAGGCTTGACTGTCTCAGTGACGTTTGATTAGAAAAGGGCTATGTCCAGTAGTGGATGGAAACAGACTAGTCATGATGATGACAGTGTATGAATGAAAGCTAAGAAATATGTGTGTAAGGCAAGTTGTAGATGGCGCTCCAATGTTTCTGAGAGGATCATCTGAATGATGCTCTTCTGGAATTGCCTCATATAATGTTATTCCTGATCCTATCAATCCAAGAATTTCTTTACCCACAATAGCAAATAGCTTTTCTAAATAAACAAAAACCTTCCTGTAAATATTTGTTAAGTCTCAATCACGAAAAACGAAGCAAAGAGGCCTAAAAATAGTCTCAGTAGTTAGGAAAAAAATAATCCTTTTTCAATATTAAACTACGCAAAGGTAGGAAACGAAATAAAATAAAATAACAAGAAAGACTCTCATTAAATACACAGACATCATTAAAAAAATTTTTTGTACGGAACCAGACCTCCTAATGACGGGTCTATGTGAAGCGAAAATGTTTTATTTTGTTCCATATACACAACCAAATTCACTTGATACTTTATTTAAAGCAACTTTCTAACGCGCAGAGTTCAACGTAAAATGGACGGTTATATCATCGAATCCGTTCTTATTACAAAAAGAAAAAGGACACAATTATTTTTGATGTTCAAATTACATTGCGTGTTTAGTGAGAAGCTTTGATTTTTAAGTAAGTGTCTAACCAGCGGTGGTTTAAAAACAAAGTGTGTTTGACGGTATTTTGATCGAGTTCCGTTAGTATTTTTTAGTCTGTTTTCAGATCGATTCGCTATAGTAATTGAATGAGAGTATTTGGAGAGCGTAACTATTGTAAAGTAGATAACTAAATTGGTTGAAGTACTTTCCGTACTTTATAATAGGGAGAAAAATCAACATTAGTAAGTAAGTACATCTATACTAATACTGTGTATAACGAGGTCAACTTTTTAAGTTTGTATGTAGGGGGTAATCTATGGAACCGCTGGTCGGATTTCCATAATTCTTTCACTGATAGACAGCTACAATGTTCCTGAATGCTATGAGAGGCTAAAAATTATACTTGATTTGCGTATTTTTGTCGAATTATCGCTTTAAAAAGAGTTGTCATTAGTTGTTATTTATAATCCCTGGAATACATTACTTCGATCCGCTCCGGTTTCGCACGGTTGCAATTCTGATACTAAATTTCTCCACTATTTAATGGATGTTATATGTTACATATAAACCTTCCTCTTCCATCGCATCAAAATCAGTTACGTAGTTTTATACATTTAAGCCTATTTATATAGGGATATGGGGACAGAGAACGCGACTTTGTTTTATACTATGTAGTGATTAACAACGGATCTAAGAAGAGCGTTTACGCTGCAAGGAATTCCATACATTCTTTCAAGTCCAAAAACCTGGAAACTACTGAACAGATTTAAATGAAACTTTGTACTCATACTCAGTATCATCATCTCATCATCAGCCCATAAGTGCCTATTGAGGAGCATAGGCCTCTTCTCACACGGAGAAGGTTTGAGCATTAATCACCACGCTTGCTCAAGATGGATTGGCGATTTCAAACCTATAACTAGAAATTATAATTCCAGGATTCCTTTCCAATCGCAATATTTTTCTTCACAATATGTCAGTGGCGTCTCATAATAATCATAGAAAGTACATATAACTCAGAAAAAATCACATTTCTTGCCAGGTTTCGTACCCAACTAATTTGTATGGGTGTATTTTTTTTTGAGGTTTGATGATCTTTAAATTCCTTCTCTAGCGTGAGGCGAGAGGTTATATCAGAGAAGCAAGTCCTTCTTGCTCTTGTCAAACTCTTACTGACCAAAAATCACCCGGTTCCTTCTCCTGATAAGGGATTCGGATATTTAAGGAATTGGGAAGGGATAGTTTCCCAATTCCTTAAATATCCGAAACCCTTATCCTTAAAGACCGGCAACGCAATCGTAACTCTTTTGGGTGTCCATGGGCGGCGCTGATTGCTTACCATCAGGCCATCCGTCTGCCCGTTTGCCGTCCTCTTGCATAAAAATATGTTATCTATACTAATATTATAAAGAGGTAAAATTTTTAAGTTTGTATGTTTGTAAGTTTGTATGTACTTATGTAGGAGGTAATCTTTGGAACCGCTGGACGGATTTCCAAAATTATTTCACTGACAGATAGCTACAATGTTCCTGAGTGCTATAGGCTATAAAAACATCACGCTACGATTAAATGGAGCCGAGCAGCGGGTGAAACCGCGCGAGAGTAGCTAGTCTTGAATACATAACAAAAACTTGTATCATTATTTATTCTTTTTGTAATTATGCAAAGATAGAAGTGCAGTGGCTACGGATTATATAAACAAACATACATAACGGTAAATTACAATCTTATAGTGTAAATTGAAATGTAAGGAAGAGATCTTCATCGTGTGATTCTGTTTTGAAAGCCTGCAGTGATGGCATATGGGAGCCATTGTTATTTTTCTCATTCTGTACCTACTTTTCCTGGGATGTTAACATGACAATAGGCCACCTATGGGAGAGTTAAAATCCCCATAAGTGGTGCAAATAAAATAACCTTACCGGTTATTACATGGCATAGGTCGGCAAACGAGCAAACGGATTACCTGATGGTAAGCAATCAGCGAAGCCCAACGAAGATACCAACACCAAAGGAGTTACGAGTGCGTTGCCGGCCTTAGTTTTGGATATTTATTAAGCATTGGGAAAGGATGGAGGGAGGCGGTAACCTCACTCACACGGCGCAACACAACGCTGTAGTTGTTTCACGGCAAATTTCCGTGTTACGTGGTATCACTCCGGTCGAGCCGACCCATTCGTGCCGAAGCTTGGCTCTCCCACACTTGAGACTTTAAGTCTATTGCGTTCAGCCAAGGTAGCGAGTCAACCAAAGCAAGTTAAGATGTGTGTTAAACCAAGTGAAACTCAAAAATCATTTTACTCCAACTAAACCATAAATAGGTACTTTTGAAATGTCAAAACCGAATAGTAGTCTGTCAATCTGTTCGTCAGTGACGCTGGGTGCTCAGAAAGTGTATCAGCTATTTACGTATCAAATTTTACCCAAATCCGTCCAGCTGTTTGCGTGAAAAAGTAACAAACATACATTCATACAATTTCGGTGACATTCACATTTCATCTAAGTACAAAATAAGTCAGAATGAAATATGACATGGGAATAATATATTTATTATCTTGTATTTTGTATAATGGTAACAGTTGTCAGAAACTGCTGGACAACTGTCGCCATGATTAGCCTATATCGCGATTTCTATTCCCACACAGAACAATACTTTCTGTAATTTGCAAAATTTTTATGACGCTTCTGTTTTGTTATGTGATGCGGTGCCAAATTAGCAGCTCATGGACAAACTCTAGAAGCACTCGCACTAAAGAATTTGCAAGTACGTTGTCGGCCTTTGGGGATAAGTCGGTTTGGGAGTAATGATTGGGCCTCCGATAAACTTATTCACGTTGTTTCACGCTGGTTTTCTGCGAGCTCGTGATATCATTCCGGTCGGGAAACTATTACAAGTAAAATCGAATAAGTATTATTTAAAAAAACTAACCCTCTACTAGGATTTTTTCCTGTGTCGTGGGTGCGTTTTACAAACTTATAATTTCAAACACGTCACACCAAGACCCAACACAACATCTTGTAAATCACACAAAGAGTTGTTTCCATGCGAACCCGCGACACGTTCGTTGGTAGCCAGTTGCGCATCAACCTTGCAGTCAAATCAAGCCGGGGTTGCGGGGCAAGCCCTATGAGGCACCGCGACCTTGGCATAGAGTAGAAGAAGGAACGAGGGGGTTTTTAGTCAGTAAGAGTCTGACACTCTCTCTCGTCTAACCCTGGGCGAGAGAAGTAATTTGATGATTTCCCCTGACACAAAAAAAACCTTGTAGTCTAATATAGTTATTAATCCAATATGCTTCCTCATAAGGAGAAAATCCTTGTGTGTAGGTACCACATTTTTTAAAAGAAAAATAAAACTATTAAAACTTATTGGTATTGTGTTTCTAACTTTAGCTTTCACTGTGTGTCGATTTTTATTTTACTTTGCGATTCGGTCTGAATATAATAGGAAATGA